ATATAAAAGATTCCCCCTGCGCCTTCTGCAGGGTGAACTGTCCCAGCTCTCAGCTTCTCCTCATAGGAGAGATGTTCCAGTCCCTTAATGATCTTTGTGGCCCTTTGTTGCACTCACTGCACTATGTCCATGTCTCTCTTGTACTGAGGAGCCCAGAACTGGACACAGCTCTCCAGGTGTGGTCTCACCAGTGCCGAGTAGAGAAGGATCACCTCCCTCACCCCACTGGCAATGCTTTGGCTAATGATCCTTTGGCCAGGATACCACTGGCCTTCTTTGCAGTAAGGGGCCAACGTTGGCTCATGGTCAATCTGGTGTCCGCAGGACCCCCAGCTCCTTTTCTGCCAAGATGCTTTCCAGCCACGTGTCCCAGCACATGTTGGAGCATGGGCTTGTTCCTCCCCAGGGTCAGGACTTTGCACTTCTGCTTACTGAACTTCATCAGGTTCTTACCAGCCCTTTTCTCCAGCCTGTTGAGATCCCTCTGGATGGCAGCACGACCTCTGGTCTATCAGCCACCCCCCCTAGCTTTGTGTCACCATCAAACTTGCTGAGGGTGCACCCTGCCTCATTATCCAGAGCATTAGTGAGATGTTCACCAGGACTGGACCAGTATTGATCCCTGGGATACTCTGCTAGTTACTGTCCTCTAACAGACATTGTGCCACTGATCACCACCTCTATGCCCAACCACCAGCCAGTTTTCAACCCGCCTCACTGGCTGCTCAGCCGCCCTATAGATCAACAGCTTGTCTATGATGCTCTCCTCTGACAGTGCCCAAGTAGGCTCTATCTGCTGCTCTCCCCTTGCCTACCAGGCCAGTCATTTCAGCACAGAAGTTTAGCATGTTGGTTAAGCCTGATTCCCCTTGGTGAAGCCCTGCTGGCTACTCCTGAGGAATCGTTTGGTGTTCCTGGAAATGGTTTCCAGGATAGTGTCACCTTCCCAGGGACTGAGGTGAGCCTCATGAGCCTACAGCTCCCGAGTCCTCCTCCTTGCCCTTCTTCATGATAGGAGGAACATTTGCTTTACTCCAGTCTTTGGGCACTTCTCCCAGTTGCCCTGGTCAACCAAAGATTATTGAGACAGTGACATCTGCAAGCTCCCTCAGCACTTGTGGGTGCATCCCTTCAAGGCCCATGGACTTCTGTGTGTCCAGTTTGCTTAAGTATTCCATGATCTGATCCTCTTCCACCAAAGGTCCATCTTCTTTGCTCCAGCCTTTCCCCCTGGTCTATGGAACCTGTGATTCCTGAAGACCAGTCTTGCCAGTAAAGACTGAGACAAAGGTGACATTTGGTATTTCTGCCCTTTCCATGTCCTGTGTAATCAGGTCCCCTGTCTTGTTGAGCAGTGGGCTCTTTCTGGCCAGGTGGCCTATAGCTGACACCCATCATAATGTCACTTTTATCTGTCTTCTATTTAATCCTAACCCATAAGCTCACAGTCAGCTCCTCGCCTATCCCTAGGCAGAGCTCCACGCACTCCACTTGCTCTCTCACATAAAGGGCATCTCCCCTTCCTCGTGCTCCTGTCCTGTCCTTCCTAAGAGCCTAGGAAGCACAGTATATTGGCAACTGTTCATCAGAAAGGTGATCAATCCATGAGTATAGAAAAGGCAAAAATGAAACTGAGAAACAAAAGGAGGATGTGTGTGTGTGAAGTCTATTTTATGGCAAACTTCCAGTCCTTTGGCCACTATAAAGCAAAGTCAGTGGATTTCATATAAATTCTCTGTATAAAGGAATGTCTATGAACTGTGTACAGTATGGCCCAGAATAAACATCTCAGTATCAGGCTAATAGAGCTCCTCACAGAGGAAAAGAAGGTGCTTACATCATGGTTTCATCTTCCCCATACAATACTGTCCGGAATTGGACTAGTGCCCCAAAATACCATTTCAGGAACAATGCAAGTTCCTTTAATGGAAAGGAAAAGCCGTAACGCGCCGAGGCTGCAGCAGCAGGGCCTGGGCAGCGGCCTCACTGCTGCACGCTTGCTCTAAAGTTCGTGTGGTTGACTGGCAGGGGGTGAGCCTCTGTGTTGAACACCCAGTCGTCCAGAGACAGCACGTCATCTTCACAGAACAGAAGATAGAGGTACCTGGAGCCGGCAGGGAGAAGAAAGGAAACGCGAGTGGGACGCCGGGCACACACAGGCACTGGCAGCAGGACTGTGATGGGGGCTCCCGTTGGCCTCAGCTGCCACATCCCCCCACTCCCTGCCTCACCCTCCTGCTTGAACCAGCCCTGGTGCAAAGGTGGCACAATGGGGAGGGCATCTGTGATCAGCAACAACATTAGCACATGCTACCTGCAAGAGGCAGCTCTGCTCCAAAGGGCAGCAAATTCAGGCCACAGTCATGTCTCCTCTGTAGACAGGACATCAACCTGGCAGAGGAGACAGGCTGTCTCTTAGCTAAATGCAAGGGAGCTCAGCAGCCAGAGCCTCCCACTTAGAGCAGCTCCAAATCACAGGAAGAGTCCTTTAAATCCTGCACACAAGCAAAACCCTTCAGAGTGCCAGTGACAGCAGCAGGAGGGAACTACCAAAGCTTTGCAGCACCCACAGCCTTGCCCGGTTTTCCCCACAGAGGGTAAGACTTCCCCCTTATTATTAGAGACTAATTAAGCAGACAGAAGTGCTGACGCTGCAGGAATTATGCTACTCTGAAAGGCCTCTGTGACACTGGACTTACTTCAGAGTCTCTGCGAGGAAAAAACTCTGCTGCATGTTGTCATGAGCTGGGGTTGTGGTGTAAACGTCTCGGATGCCAGAGAAACCAGCTTCTACTCTACAATGTTTTTCCAGGGCCTGAGAAAGGAAAAGAAACCTCAGTAACACACAGTAGCATGGAGCAACTCATTCATCATCATCAGTTCCATTACAAGTCAGCTTTACAAATCAAATTCCAGGTTTACAGTAGGCTCTGTCTCTCACTAAGAGTGTGGTGATTACTCCAGACTCTGGGAATAACGCTAGTTCTAATGAAATAGCAAGAGAAACACTAACCACCTAAGTTAGTTGATTGATTGACCCTGACGTTACAGAAATAGCACAACCAGATCCTCAAGTGGTAACTTGCTGCTTGTGGAGGCTCTTTTCCAGAGAGTAGACAAATTACATTTGTGCCGCTGAAATGCAGCTCCTGCTAGGATGTGGGCAGGGGCTAACGGGCTATTGCATGAGCTAGAAAGAGGTGAGGGACTTTCTGGCTGGGAGGTCTTTGTGGGAAGAAGACAAGACCCAGGGCAAAGGCAGGGTTCCTGCTTTTCCCTGGCCCATTACGAGCAGCCTGAATGCTGCAGGTTGACTCCTTTGCACAGAGTGCTGTTACATGAGCAGCAGGTTTTGCTGTCTGCAGCACTCCTCTCCATAAACCTCCACTGTTCTGACTGCCTGATTTTAGTGTGGCCCAAAAGGGAGAAGAAAACACAACGATCAACAGAGACACCACACTACACCGAGCTATTTCCTGCATTCCTG